GCTCTCTCACTCTCTCTTTCTTTCTGTCTTTCTTTCTCTCTCTCACTATCTCTCCCTCTATCTCTATCTTTCTCTCTCTTTCTCCCTCTCATTCTCTCTCTCCCCTATCTCTCTCTCTCTCTGTCTCTGCCTCACCTAGAGTCAAATTCAGCTGACCACCAAACTCAATCCAAGAGTCGCAAAGACCCGGATAGGTCCTATTTATTCTGTATCCATAGTCAGGATCATCATTTACATGCGCTAACCTAAAACAAGAAGTAGGACGAGAATAAGTCGTATGCACCACTATACAACGTGCGTAACCAGCTTCCTATGCACTTATTTAAAAATCAACCCACGGCATTATAACAGTATTTGGCTCGACACGCGTCACGGCACACATCCCCGGGTAGAAGAGAATTATCGATTGGACAAGTCGGGCCACGTGCTCCATCAGAAGATAGGTGGTCACCAGGAAGGAGAGGTGAGGATTTTTCTTGATGACGTACAAGGCACCGCCGTTGGTGAGGATTGAGATGATGCCAAACTGGAACGAGTGGCTTAACGGAACAGTTTTATGTTATTGTAATAAATATATCAAAAATATCGTTTTTCGATTGAAAATGACCGATTTTGATCAAAATGTCGGTTTTTTTAAGTTTTAGATAGTTTTTCTGGCTTAAATACAGTTATATTTTACCAAAAACACTATTAAAAACCTTCTTGTAAGTTACTAGGCAGTTCCAGGCTTATACAAAAAAGTCCGTCTCCCCGTCCCCGATAATGCGAAAGCACGCAAAAATTAGGAACAGCAGATGTAATAATCCATAAAAAACCGTTAAAATAAGTTTACTAACTTACCACAAAAACCGAATAGAAGACGAACCAATCCCGGAACAACATCTCCAAAAAGAAGTGGTAAGGATACGGGATTTTCTTCGCTTTGGGCATCTTGCTAAAAAGTAAACGGAGGTCTTGATAGAGATGAGGAAGAGGGCTTGATAGAAGCTTCAGATAGGAAACTAGAATGATTCTTATACCAAGCCTAGCCTAAAAACTGGCCAAACCAATCGGGTAAGACATAATTGAACCCGAGGGTCCTTTCGCCCCCGGCGATTACGAATCCAATTTGGGTTCGCGGGGTGGAGTATGTTTTGCCACATAGGCCTGACATTTCGGACTTTTTAGATTTTAAAGGCCAACGGTGTCGAGTGTCGCAACGCCATAGATTTTATTGGTCTGGACAGACTCTGGAGGTCTAGTGTCGAGATATTCTCTGAACTGCCGAAAAAGCCGGTAGATATGTGTTTGAAAACGAAAATCCAATGGAAGTTGCTTATTTATTTACAAGCTAGTCACAAGGGTGGGCGATAGAGAGAGAGGGGGCGAGAGAAAGAGAAAGAGAAGGAGCAAGAAAACGAGAGCGAGAGAGAGAGAGAGAGAGAGAGAGTGAGAGAGAGAGAGCGAGAGGGAACGATAGACGGCGGAAGATTACTACGCAAATGAAGTAAGGACGGGTTCGAGCGAAGTGACAGCGAGACAGAGATAGTGAGAGAGAGCGAGAGAGAGAGAGAGAAAGAGAGAGAGAGAAAGGGAGAGATCGAAAGTGCGAGACAGCCACAGCTTTATCTGGTCGTATTCGAAATCATGAAAGCGCTTCGGTTTTCTAAAAGCAATTTTAAGACTTTTAAGGTACCACTTACCGATTTCGAAGACCTCAGCGTGCTGCTCCGGAAAACTCGATAAATATGACCGCAGGGTAATGGCGTATCGCTTAGGAAAATTATGGTGATGAACCTAAAGCGATAAAATTTAATTGACCTTCTGGCCTCAAACTACAGACGGCAACTGACCCCGAGATTGCATTCCCCCAGGCTGGCAAGCATGTGGTGACGATGGTGAGAAACCAACTTGTTTGTAACAATTCGGAGGTGTACCTCCCTTCCGCGGCTTGTCGTTCCTGGAAAGGGGCAAAGAAGATAAAAGCGTAGAAGTTTTCGAGATTTTGAATTTAAAATTTCATGTCGAAGTCCGGGTTCTGGACATACAAGTGTGTCCCAATAAAAACACCCTCTAACAGTCCGTAGTCATGTCCGATTTTTACTGCATGGCTAGCAACCGAAAGCTCGCGGCGGGCCGAATATTTTGACCTTCGAAATTCCGAATTTTTTAAACATTTATTAAGTTTTTGGGAAAGGACGGCCTTTTTGTCGCTTTACCTAACTAGGGAATGGTCTCTGCTCGGCCTCGAATTTCGGGTTGAAAGTTAGCTCATCTTGAAGAGCTCGACGAGACGAATCGATGTAACTTAGCTGCGGACATGAAAAACAAAAAAGTCTCGTCGAGCCTACAAGATGAGCAACTTCCCGGGAAAGGGCCAAGCAGAGACCATTCCCTAGTAAGCACAGAGTTTTGAACAAAAAGCCGGTTTTGCAAAATTTTTTGCGCTTTTCCCTACAGCCCGAGTGTAGCCTTCTCAAAGTTTCTCAAAGCCATTTGAGAAACCCCACTTGAATGGGGCGGAATTCGATTTCATGGGGTTTTTGGAAAACATGGTGTAGTTTTTGCATAAACAACGATGAAAACCGAGCCGAAAAAATCCACATCGCTACTGTGCCCAACCAGGCAACTCACAAAATCCTCCTCCGTCATATGCTCAATGTACAGCGAGTCGATCTGTCCTTGGAATAGGAAGGCGACATAGAAGTTGACGGCTGTGACGGCCAGCGAATAGGTGTGGTTAACGATCATCTGAAATTTGCGTCAAACAGGGTACGTAGAAGAGTTTCGGAATCTTTTTCACGGAGCTTACCTGCTTGGCCAGCTTATGATCGGCACGACTTTTGCCGGGGTCATGCCTTGAGGTGGCGAGATTTTTCTTCTGAAACTTGTTATTATGAATTTGAGATTATAAAATCGGGTTTAAGAAGAAATTTTAACATAAAACCTACTATATATAAAAATAGTGTCTGTTGTGTGCCACTTTGCATCCACTTCCGTATCGTTTTCCAGTAGTATTCTCTATAGGAAAGAAGTTAGTGGGTACGATACGACATTATGTGCTAATGTCTAGGATACTGCCCACATATCAGATTTATAAAAATCAGCCATTTTCGATATTAAATTTAAGTTTTTTAAAACCTCTTCTTAGGAAAATTAGTATTGATGGAAGTGGGGAGTCGCCTATATAAAGGGTCCAAGCGAATCATTTTCATTTTTGTCATCTGAATTCAGCGCAATTATGAAGCGAACAGCATGCGGTCCAGAGGGCCAGGTTGAAGCGAAGCGGCTTTTCAACCCTGGTGGTTATTGAAAAGCTGCTGATTACTAACGCACCAGATGCTGTCGTATCAAGAAAAATGTCACGATATCGGAAAATAGGGCGCCCAACGTGAGACAATTTGCTAACATGCGAAGCTTGAACATCATGTCCCGGAGGATATTTGCTCCATATTCTGATGTGATCAGGGCGTAGCTGTGAGCCTCGAAGAACACGATCAATTCCACTGCAAATTTACAGTTGCCTCCCTAAATCAAAGCAACTGACTCGTCATATAATAAATGGCGGTGACTGGTATCGTCCACACCGCCAATAGCTGATGCAGCTTCGTGGAGCTCACCAACTCTGAGTAGCGTCCTGAAATTTTTGGTTTTCCACAATGGAATAGATGTTCTCTCTCTCTCTCTCTCTCTCTCTCTCTATCTCTCTTGCTCTCTCTTTCTGTCTTTATCTCTTTCTGTCTCTCTCTCTTTCTCTCTTTCGCTCTCTTTCATTACCTTCAAAAGCCAGAGCCGCCAGACGATTAATCGAGACACCGAGTTGCACTATTTCAATAGCGTGCTGAGTACAAAGGAAAATGATACCTGAAGGTGCGGTAAAATCCGTAATGGTGCTAAATTATATAAACTCATATTTTAAAATTGCCATGGCAATTTAAAATTTATTAGTGTTTCATAAATATGCTGTAAGCAACGCTACGATTCTCTTACCAAGCGCCAAGTTCAGCTGCGCTCCAAACTGTCCCTGGGCTTCGCAGATACTACGGTGTTTCCGATAAATGTAATAGCCATATGGTTCCTGATCGCTCACGCGGGCATATCTGCAAGATAAACTATCACAAAAAGGCTAATATTACTGTTCCTAGATCTCGCTGTTTCTCTCTATCTCTCACGCTATCTCTCTCGTTCACTCACTCTCTACAGGGTGTCCCAAAAAAAGCCCCCTTTGGGTTTTCCCGTTTTTCCCCCCACGGGTCCAAAAATTGAAAGAAAGGGTATATAAACAAAAAAAAAAAAAACTAAAACGGCCCTATTAAAATATTTTTAAATTTAAAAAAAAAAAATTTTTGAATTTTTTTCGATGATATGATTGGGGGCCACCCCACAATCCTTTTAAATTGGGAGGTAGTTTTTTTTTGTAATTTAAATAAAAAATAAATTAATTTTTTTATTTTTTTATAATAAAATTTTTTTAAATAAAAACAATCGGAAGGGTTAAATTTAATTTTTTTTTTTGGGGTTTAAATTAAAACAAACAAAAAAAGAAGAAAAAAAAATAATTTTTTTTTTAAATTGAAAGAAGGAGTGATATTTGGGGTGGTAATAAAGGATTTTTTTTTTTTAAGTTTAATTTTGTCTTATATTGTGGAATAATAGAAAAAAAAAGGGAAAAAAGAGAAAGGAAGAACGGGGGGGTTTTTTTTTATTTCTTGCTCTGAAGTGTTTGGGAAGGGCTTTTAAAACCAACAAGTTCGGCTCGGCATCCGTCCTTATAAACGTGCATGCGCCCGGATAGAATAAGATGAGCGACTGGCCAATCCGTGCCAAATGTTCCATACAAAGATAGGTGGCCACGAGGAAGGAGAGGTGCTGATTCCGCTTCACCACTATCAACGCGCCAATATTCGAGAGGATTGAGATAAAGCCGAACTGGAATTTGGTCTTTTTGAATCCTAGTCGAAAACACTAAAAATAAGCTGGAGCACTTCTGCATTCTGTATTCAGTTTGGTACTTTTTAGGCTGTGTTGACTTACCACAAATACCGAATAAAAGACGAACCAATCCCGAAAATTCATATCCTCGAAGAACACGTATTTTGCTACTTTCACTTTTGCCATCGGGTTTAGAAAACAATCAATCAAGTACAAATTCAGCTGCCAGCACCTTAAAAACTTTTCCAATAGAAAAACATATTACCTTAGTGAATGGCATGACCAATAAAAGCCGAAGGGCCATAAATTTTTCATTTCCGCCGCCAGATTGGTCTGTCCCCCATTGAACAATCAGATTTTACGGGGGTTGCCTGCGAGTGACAGCTACTCTAATTTTTGGGAGATTGTAGTTGTAATTTTTGCAACAGAAATGGTAAGATAGTGCTTAACATTAAGGGAAAATTGTTTTATTCAATTTTTGCTCTCTAATTTGTTTCATTTTATTGATTTTGAATTTTTTTTGGCTAACTTTAGGGATTTAAATTTAACTAGAAAAATTCTCAAAAAGTACCATCCTCAATTCCATGACAATACCCCCATCCTGTTCGCCGTAGGATGGTCTCTGATTTTCGAACTTCCCCTGCAAAACATTACGACTTTTTGCGATGCGGAACTGTTTACAGATTTTCTATATAAACAATGAAGCTGATTCTCCAAGCGGACCCACCGCATTTGTGTCCCCACCACCACCTGCCATGAAAAGTGTAATAATCCTCTGCCTGGCTACCGTAGCCCTTGCCTCATTTCCGGACCTTGCGGAAGTGTTGTCCGTTGATAAGAATGGGATGGTCGAGGTGGGTATTGAAGGGACGGGCAAGGCATGATTATGGATTTTTGATTGCCGGTGCGGCACTCCTAATACAAAACGCGAAACATTCCTGATATTTATATATTAATTTTTTGGATATTTATATGCAGCGGGTGGTCTTAGTTTATCGGGTAGTCGAGTACAGTAGCTACAAGACCCCGAAGGCCACATGACCACGCGTGTGGTGTGCTGCAAAATCTATAATATAACTTGCGAATTTAAACTCAAGCTAAACTTATAATTTTATCGTGTTTTTTTACATCCATCTTCATAATTTCCAGGTGGAAATCCCGCTCGGCCCGGCCACGGCGAAGGAGGCAGCCTTTCTCCGATTATTCTAAGAAAGATCAAGAAAGTAGGTGTTTTCGATGTAATATAAATTAAAAACCGAGGCCTCTTCAGGCGATTTGGAAAAACGTTCCTTAAAAGCCTAATTTCTCATTTCAGGGCTAATGAAGATTTGCGGACACTCCGATGGGAAACCTTGCATTGCCCCCCCAATGCGTACGTTTTTCTTCAACTTACACTTTCAATTTTAAGACTTTTCTTTCCAATATAAACTTTTAATGCTCCAGTTTCGATAAATCTAGCTCGATTTCAGGTGATCGTCCAAACCAAGGAGGTGCAGCGTGAAAAATGGGTCCCAGTGCTGATCGGCGAAGCTTTCCCGAAACCCTCGGATAGCCGTTCGTGTCGTGCCTCTCATAAAATGACCCCTGAAAGGACTTGATTTGAAAGTTTTACTTTAATAAACTCCTTTGTATAATGGTTAAATGGAATTTTTGGATTATTTTTAGGGTGCTTAAACCTTGGATTTGGCTGCCGCGGCGACACGGATTGCGCGTGGCAAAGTTTTCCATGCTTCATGGATTACCATTCCGGTTGTCGCGTTACGTGGCGGGTCGAAACCATCCTTCGCTATTGCATAACTAGGCCGGAAAGGATACGGGGGATCCGGAAAGCGCTTCACTTCTCCCGATAAAGCGGCTAACCCATTACGCAACCGAATAGCGGCGCACTCGTGGCGTGGCGCGAGTGTGGAAAACCGTTATGAAACCGATAACTAGCGAATTCTATGTATAATTAATTCTCGATTCCTTTAAAATGATTTATCGGCCCTTAGACTCGCGTTTTTTGGACGGTCTGTATCGCGCCTGGTCTCCAATTTCCGTAAATAGCCCCCCGCAAACGGTTTCCAGTTGCGAGTGAGACGAAACTTTTGAAGTGGCCCAAGTGCTGCATTGTGATCCGGAATCCCCGAAGATGAGAAGTGCTTCGATACGAGAGTTCGAGCGGGTGCTGATCGTCAATATTTGCCCATTTGAAGCCCTGAGGGGAGGATAGCTTTTAGCCCTGATAAGACCGTTTGCGAATCCGGAGTCTCCGAGGGGGTCATTTAACGCCTTGGGAATCCTGAAAATCCTATCCTATAAGCGAGAAAAGTATGTTTGTTTTCTGTACAGCCGATTTCTCGGCCCCCAGGCCGAATTTTGAGCTGATTTTTGGCATGGAGGTGGAGAAACACATTTGTCAGTGACGCATTTTTTTGTTTTTCGAAATTCCTTCATTTAACGGTTTTACAAGCAAAATAGTGAAAAATCCTTAACATCTTGGCCGAAAAAAGGTTTGTTCAAAGGATATCTCCCCAGCCAAATGGAATTAGGCGCTAATTTTTGGAGGGCAGATTGGAAATTACATTCTCCTGTGATATAATTCTGGGTTTTGGCAGATTTTGTAATCTAAAATTTTTATGAGCATTTTTCCAAAAAGTCCTTAACAAAATGGGCCAAGAGCCGTGGTGTCCGGGGCATAACTCGAAGCCCTGATGGAATTCCGGGCTAAAATTTGGACCACTTATGTAATCGATGGTGCTTCTTAGGCGCAGCTTATTAGATTTTACAAATTCGATCATCTTCCACCTCAAAAATCGATTTTTGTAAAGTGACTAGACGGCGCCCGGGGATCCCCAGAGGATGAAAAGGCCTGTCCCGCATCGCACTCCCAACTCCCTGTGGTGTAAGGGAAGCGCACCAGGTCCTCGGCGCTAGGGGTCAAGGGTTCGGATCCGGCGCGATGACTACTTTTTGCTTTTTGGTAATTCTTCTAACAAACATATTGCTTGGCTTTCCGTATGCAAGATTTAGGTCTGGCCCTCGCTCTAGCGCCACAGGCCAAAGGAAAAGTCCTTAGCTCGGACTCTCCCGCCGCAGGCCAAATCCTGGAGGAAACCAGTAAATAGCGCCGCAGGCTCAAAGATTCTGGCTACGTTGGCTCTGGCGCCGCAGGCCATGGATGGTTCCTTGCCCCAGATCAGCTAAATCCGGGGTTTGGGGGAAACGTAGTAGCTGGCGCCGCAGGCTCAAAGGTTGGAGCGCAACGCTGGCTCTTGCGCCGCAGGCCAAGGAATGGTTCCTTGACTCAGGCTCTTGCGCCGCAGGCTTCAAACAAAGGAAAGAGAATTCATGGGTCCTAGATGGGGTCCAGTGGAAAAGGGCCGCGAAGCGGACTTTTTCCACTGGTTCCTTAATATACTGCTAATTTCCGCAAATATTTTTTGATTTCAACAACCTTTTGATACAATCCTGATTCAGGGGAATGGCGTAATGGTGATAAAGTTAACATTATGGGTTCTTTCACATCATTGTCAAATATTTCAACAAGTCGAGAATGCCTATTTAATAAGAATTATCTTAGTAATGTGTTTAGGAAAGTAAAGCTACGTTTTAATTAGAAAAACGATCTAAACACCTCCAAAAAGTTGAACTTTGGATATAACGGCAATTTTTGGTCGAAAATTCGATATTTTATGGTGTTTATTAATAAAATTTGTTACGTATTTACATTTAAAAATAATAGAAACAGCATTATCGTATTAATATGCCTTAGGCTATCATTTATGCACATAAGTGCCCCGACGCATCAATATGTCGTGTTGGGGGGCGTGAAATGTATTGATTCTGCTCCTTTTTCATTCGGATGCTGATGCTTGACTTTTGAGAGACCTTATTTGTTTCAATTTTCCGGGTGAATACAGGTTTATTTAATCTTTTCTCTAAATATAACGCTGTTTATGAGATTTAAAGCCGCGTGATGCCTATTCCGCTGGAAAAATTGAAAGGAGGCCCATTAAATTGCCTTTGAAGCTGAATCAAATTGTGCGATTCACATCAAAAACCATTCAATTACAGAAACCCCGATTTTTTCAAAACTAGAAAAGGACAAACCCGCGGGCGTCGCGGGGTTATTTTAAGAAAGCCATGTTTTCACGCCTCCCCGGCGGAAATTATTTAGACAACCAGACACGCAAAT